ACAAGTCACGAGTTCCATAGAGTAGGTACCTATTCAAATATAATTTATCCAATGTCCTCCCAGTATACCAATGTGAGGTAGGTAAATCATTAGACTGTACTAAGATCATCCTTATAGGACGACTTAAGCCACTTAAGGACCGTGAAGAATTTTGATATGTGGGTAATTGGCTAGCACTGTGTAACCAACGTTTTATTTGTGGTACCTACTCATAGAAATACGATTGATTTTGGGTCAACCCAAGCAACATACAAGCGACAATTAGTGCCTACCGATCAGGTTGGCGTATCAAATTATTTTTCTTGAAAATCTAGGGTAACCATCGAGGTATATAAACTATACTGGAGCGCGCACTCGTTATCAAAAAACGAGCCGACGCGTTCGAACGATTCCCCCACCACTGCAGGGCAAAAGATTACCATACGCCAGCCACTACGTAATGTTCTCAATTTCTCATGGCTCTGAACCATAGAGTAAGAATATATAGAGAGGCCATGTCGTATATTACTCTATCGAACAGATTGAACTCTTGGTTAATTGTTTGTACTGTTTTTTTGTCTTTAACCTTATTTTTCTATTAAAATTAAAATTCGTCAAAAACATTCTAATATATTATATGAACAAAAATGGTTATTTCGTTAATAATCGTAATACAGTTAATTGAATATACTAATGAAATACTTGATTATATTGCTGGATATATTGTAAAAAATATTAGCAAAAAAGTTGTGTGTCCTTACTGTATACTGTCGTCTGTCCTTACTGTATATTGATATATTAGTAAAAAGTGATCTAACAGATCATAGCTATGTAAAAGATGCAAATTTTACATCTTTTGTAAATCGGGGGAAATTGAAAATAGTTTCATCAGGTGTATCACTTATATTATTCAAGAGCTTGAAAACTCTTTTCAAGCCGTTGTTGTTATAAATAAAAAATTACATAACAATGTGAAACAAAACATTGTAATGTTAGCAAAAAAAAATATATTGAACAAAAGTACTCTATTTTTTTTCCCAAATTCACATCCTATTACTGTTGATATTGGTTCCCCAAGTCATGAGTATAGCCTCTTTACTGCACTAAGTCAATGTTTTGTTAATATAAGAATGCGTCATTATGCCAAAGAAATAAACTCTAAACAAGTATTTAAAAATAAATCATCATTAAGGCAGAAATTAACAAAATTAATTTTATTTAACAATATTTAAACTGTTAAAACTACTCATTGAGTGTAGGTATTTGATTTGTTTTTATACTTTTATTTATAATTTGAATGTAATTTATTTTAGTATGATATTATGTAAATGAATGTTAAATTATATGTTATTAATATTTTTAAAGGAAATAATAAATATATTCATTAGTATTTTTAATTTTATATTGTATGTGTAGTAATGATAAGTATTGTATTTCTCAAATATATATTAGAGTATACTATACTAAGGGCTAATACTTTTAATGTTTTGCTATTAAAAAAATTAAATGATATTAAATTATTTTTATTGATTCCTAATTTAATAATTTTTGAAAAAATAATGTATTATACACGTAAAGGTAGTAGGTACGTCGTACTATTATACGGTACATGGCATTAAAGTTGCCCTGCAGTGGTGGGGGAAACGATCGAACGCGTCGGCTCGTTTTTCATTACACGGACGGTATACGCAGTGCGCGCTCCAGTATAGTTTATACCTCGATGAGAGTAACGAACTGTTATATAATATTATTATCAACAACATAAGACCGCGGTTGTTACTCATTAGTCGTTAGTAATTACCCTATAATGTACGGTTGGCGTTCTATTTCATAGAAAATAGATAAAATGTTATCCAATTCTCATAATAATATTAAGGTTCGGATTTGAAGGAAAACCGCGGTGGTTGCCGGTTGGCATTGCCGACCGTGTCTGCCGTCATTTCGCGGCGTCCGCGTCGATGGGGCACGTCTTCCTTCGTAGATAACAAGTAGCCGCTACCGCTGATAAGAGTACGTCTTTTCTATTGGCGCACTGGTGCCCGTTAACGGGTTACCACTACTGTAATGTTCCCTCGAATTATACCACTTCGTCACCCACGCATATAGTTTATAAAAAAATAGTTCGTTATTTATTTGTTGGAACGTGGTCCGACGCGGAATGACTGTCTGAATAAACGTCGCTCGACGATTGACTCTTTGGACGGAAAAAAATCTCCACCACGCTCTACTACTGTTGACGCCGGAAAATCAGGACTAGAGACTCTACGGCCGAGAGCTAGTTTATTTAATAAACTTTATTCCGGTTCGTTACCTACTTACCAAAGTCTCTAGGGATTGCCCGCCATGTCTTCGCAGAATTTTCGTCGGCGTGTCTCACAGGTACTGAATACTTATTAGCAATTAATATTAAACGATTACAAATTAACATTACAAATTAACTGAACTGTAGAACGATCGCACTGGAATAATCTTACCGAGACACGTAAACATTGCAAACAGAACGCCAACCCAGGTCACTAATCGAAAACCGAACGCCGTGTAAACGACGCCAAACAACTACCTACCAGTGACTACGTTTACATGGCGACGTCTAAAGCGGTTTAAATCTACGGTTATTTGTTCTCTCACTCTTAAATCAAATAACTGTAACGGTAAGAAAGTGAATGTCCGTTGATTCAAGCCCGTTTTAACGTCACCATGTTCATGTAGTCACTCGTAGCTGTTGACTGTCGTTTTACCAGCATTCAGTTTTCAATTAATGACCCGGGTTCGTGTTCTGTGTTGTTCCTTTGGTAAGATTATTATTACGGTGCAATCGTTATACAATTCGATACTCAAACTCTGTGGCGGAGCGCTCCCGATGTCTTGCGAAATGACTTTTGATCATGGGCGTAACTTGGACATTTTTTTACAGGGGGCAAACTTTATTTTATGTCGATATATGTACTTAAAGATATTTGGAGACTAAATATGCTTAATCAGTAGAAACTGGAAAGCATAACATAATAATATTATTAGCTAAATCTTTATTGTAGTATGTAAAATTAAATGACATTATGGAAAACACGATGGTTTTTATTTAATAAAAACATTCTGAATTTCTATATTTTCCTAATATTACTTTATTTTTGCATAAGGAATTTATTTCTGAAGTCCATAAGTCATAACGTTATAAATATAATGTATAATACACAATATACCTAATGCTATAGTTTATAGTTATTAGCAGAGCTCGGGACTTAAAGCATTTGCTTATTTTTATGGATTGACTTAAAATGTAGCAGTGTTATGCAAGTGTGTTACGACACGTTCAATTATGAAATTTGAAAGTGCTTTTTTTTTGCTTTTTTCATTGATTTTTCAAATAAAATGCTTATTTCCATTTTTTTTTCGTTATTTTTGCTTTTTTGACCAGTTTTTCTACTTTTTTTTATGGTTTTATACTGCAAAGTTGTTTTTGATAGAATTAAAATTAAATCATTTAATGCAATAATGACGGTAAGATTAATTTCATTTTTTTTAAATATCTTTTACATTTTAACTTTCAGAAAATCCCTCGGAAAATCTATAAATAATAATGCAAATTGTCTCGAAAGTGAAGTTTGATTTTTGTATAATATAAAGATTTATTTTTTTTTTTTAGTTAGAAACTTTTCCTAATCATTATTTTTAGCACAGTTATACAAATATCTATAGTACCTACTTTATCATGTAAAAAGAAAGTCTTTTTTTTTGATGAACTATTTTTGCTTAAATTTAAGTTTTTTAAATGTTTATTTTAGTGCTTATAGTGATGTTTTTAAGCGCTTATTTTAATGATTTTAAGTGCTATAAGTCCTGAGTCCTGATTATTAGGTATATATATATATTTATTTTCAAATGTATCACACTGTGCGTCTGTATATTAATTATAGCCTCGATTATAGTAAAAAAGTACCTTGAATTGTACAAAAAAGATATTAGAATAGTATATACTAAATAGTATTATAGTAATATTTTACTGTAGTAATATTCTATAACACTATGCTCAAAGCTCAAACAGTCAAACGCAACAATGAATACCTAGTGAAGAATAATACAAGATAAATAGAACGTGTTGTGTCATATTGTTAACAGTTGAAGCTCACGGTTAAACAATTACCACAAATAGGAAAACAAGCTTTAATTTTACCCTTAGATCATTATACTATGGATGGATGTATAGTGTATTATACCAGTACAATAAACTGCCAATATCAACGACGAGTCAACGAATTATTTATTCGATATGCGCATGCACAACGCAACTTCTTGCATGTTTATCCACCGATAATTTATTATCAAATCAGCCTATTATATTTAAATATAATATTATATTGAAAAAATAGTAGGTATAATGTCTACTATAATAATATAATTAACCACAAACTATGATTTAGAATAATTCAGTGATGCTAAGTTATGGATAATTATGCCTAAAGTTGCATCGCCCATGTGCATATCGATCACCTTATTCGGAGACTCGTTGCTAATATCGGCAACAAAATAATACGCTGTGGCTCCATCCATAGCATATGAACTAAGATTTTACCGAACCTTAATGATTTTTTCGGAACACAGCCGGTTGCAGTTTGCTGTTTGGTTTTAAAACTCATTAACATAATTATTATCATGATGTATTACGATGGCATATCACATATGGCAAATGGCAATAAATAAACACATTTTAGTTAATCAATTCTTTTTTTTTTCTATAGTTAATCTTTTAAAAATATATTTTTCAGTTTTCTTGAAAAAATAATTCTTACAAATCTAATATGCCTTTTTGATAATATTTTTCAAATTAATTCACAAATTACCAAGGAGGGCATTGCCCCCGTTAAATTTTTTGAGGGGTGGCAGTGTCCCCCTCCTCACCAGTTTACGCCTATGCTTTGAGTAAATGTTTTGCAGAAAGTTGATTATTTTAACAACATAAAGGAACCCTTGAATTGAGTGCTTTATTACAAATTTGTTGTTACAGGTTTAACTTTCTTAACACAATGGCCGACATTACAGAACCGGTCAATGTTTTTTTAGAAACTAGCCACGACTATGTTAACAATAATGGTCAACCAAATGCGATCGATGTCCTCATTTTTGACAACAATCCTGTGCTACCGAGTAATATATCTCATTTAAATAGCAACTCATTAAGTAGCAACGAGGCTGAGAATATACCTCTGTCATCTGATTCATCTCATTTAAATATTGATAAGCCTGTAAATACACTAATTATTCCTTCCCTTCAAGATTCACTTAATGATATGGATGTGGATGTTTTTGATTCATTATTGGACAAACCTGCTAGTACTAGTTCTAAGCAAATTAAGAATTACAAGGTTGGTGATATTGTTTGGGCTAAAATTGGGAAGTATCCATATTGGCCAAGCATTGTCTGTGTTGACCCAACATTGAATATTCATTATAGTAAGCTATTTATAATAATATACTTTCTCAAATTTCATGATTTAACTACTAATGTAACTTTTAATTAACTAAGTTATATAGAATATTATATTGTTAAAAACATAGCATAATATTATAATAACCAACATAACACATAAGGCATATCATTTTTTAAATTAATAAACTTCAAAATGTTCTATACTCTATTCAAAATAAGACCGTGACCAGGCGGTGACCAGTTTTTGTCCAGCGGCAGGTCAAACATATGGTGAAACACCGTCCCCACCACGGCGGTGCGTAGGGCTCTGCCACGAAACAAAGCCACGCCCATGCGCACAAGTCGGCCGCCCGGTCACGGTCTTATTTTGAATAGAGTATAGTCATTTGTAAATTAAGCACTATTGTGACTAAATATTACATTATTATTTTTGCTGACCTTTATTAGCTTAGTTTGTTATGTTAGTTACATTTTTTTATGTAAGTTTTTATTATGTATTATATTTTTTCAGAAGAAAAAAAGCGATTATTGATACATGTCCGCTTTTGTAATGATAAAGGTAAAAGAAGTTGGGCCAAAACTACTGAAAATTACAATGGAAAATGTGAATTACTTTTAAAGTATCCTAATACTTTAGTAAGTATAAATTAATATAATATAATTATATATAAGTTGTAAAAGATTATTTTTAATTTTTTGTATTTGATAATTATTAATATTTGCAGACTTACTTTAAGAATAGTAAAAAGCTTATTGATACGTGGGAATTGGCAGTTGAAGAAGCTGATAATTTGATGAAAATTGATAGGTATATTTTGAATACAGTTGTTTATAATACCAAAAATATTTTTATTAATTATACAATATGTATTTTATACTTCAGAGAATCGAGATTGGTAGAATTTTTCAAAACTTTTTGTAATTCAGATTCTGTAACTCCATCTGTTTTAAAAAAATCATCTGAAGGCACTGTTGCTGTAAGTTAAAATATTATTTGTTATTGATCAAGCTGTTAATTGATTGAATATTAAATATTAAATTTATATTATTCTAAGGCGTTAAAAGTGCGTAATTATTCAAGAAAAAGATCTCTAGCAGTTCCTAAACAAGATAATGATTCCAAAATAATGAAGACTGAAAACATAGATATGAATTGTACATCATCAGGATCAATAGACATTCCTCTACTGTCAAGATCAGATGATGCGGATAGTACTGTTTCTGATTTTTCTATGAGATATGCTTTTATGGAAGACTTAGGTTTAAAAGTAAAACAGGAAACTATGAAAAAAAAAAGATCAACAAAAACATGTCCACCAAAAAGTTCAGTTGCCAATAAATATGACTTATCTTCTTCAATAATGAATTCTCCAGAAAATAATGATAGTAATAGTGTATCTGATAATCAAGATAAATACCCAGTTACAACCGCAACATCTTCTACTCGTTCGGTACCTCATCATAGGAAACTTGAAACAAGGTAAAAAAAAAAATTTTAATTCAAGTAATTTAAATTATTTAATTAATATACAGGTTGATTTTTTAAGCTCTCACTATATTTATTCTTAAATTATACACATATTAAAATTCTAATTTTGTAACTTTTAAATTACACATAAAGAACATATTTTAAATAATTTAAAGTAAAAGTGTGGGAGGAGGGTTCTAATTTGAGAAATAGATGTTTGTTTGTCACAGGATACGCCTTAAGTAGTACAAAAAATATCAGGAATTTGAAAATATGGTCATTAGGTATACTTAAAAAATCTGAAAATCTGAGAATTGATATAATGTAGTATTAAGGGAAATGATAGGGATTAGCATGTTTAAAAAATCATCCTCTATAAAATATACTTGTAGGATAGATTTTATATTTACCTTTTTAGTTGACTTGATTTATATATATAGATAACATTATATATATTTATTATGTTAATATTATAATAAGGAAGATGATGTCAATCATGGGCGTCTGTTAGGGAGGGGGGGTTGGCATGTCCCTACTGTTATTTTAGTTCATATTAATTGTTTTATTTCTTGTAAAAACAAAAAATAGTTTGTGTGTATGTGGATTGTGAGGCTAGGATTTGTCATTTAAAACCAGGGTGGTCACTCGTCAGAGAGCTAGTGACGCCGGACGATGCTTGACCTCAACGCACTTAAGTAGCCCAACCACCGCTTTGCCAGGCCCCACTTTTTTAATTAGATGTTTTCTGTTATTGGAATGTCAAATGAATACATTTTTTCTACTAGAGATAAAAAATGAATTGATCTTATTTTTTTAATATTATAAATTCTAGCATATTAGAAGGAAAATATGATCAAAATAATATTATTTTTCCAAGTTCTTGTCGTTCAAAAAAAAATAAATACATTTCACATAGAGTAAATTTAAATATATTTAATTATCAGTGTATTTGTTTATTATAAAGGTATATTATTATGTTTTTAAATATTATTTTATATATTTTATAGTTGTAGTTCCAACTAAAATAAAGAAATCAATTTAATTAACGGTGATCATACTATACGTTTACAAAGGTATAATTTTAGTGATATAAATTAAAGAGAGTTATGTTTAGAGTTATTTTTTGAAAACAAGTTGAATTGAGCATCCTTTTTTTAGTCTATTTCAAAAGTTAAGTACTTGAAATGGTCCAAGTATTGTATTATTGACAATTCTTGAGTGTTCTAAATTAGTACTGAAAGTTACTCGTGTATTTGAAGGTATGCTCGCTTACCTATACACAACATAAAAATATTGTGGTTGTATAATATTTAAAGTTTTTACATTTATTTTTCCCAAAAAAATAGTCATGTTGATGAGTATAAAATAAATTCAACTAAGTTTGTCTTGACTAGATCATTTTCTTTTTTAGTCAAGTAGGTACTCAAGCAACTAAAATTAAATATTTATATGTATTCTAGTTCATCCAATTCTAAGAAAACAGTTACTAGAAAACAACTTATTGAAAAAGAAAACTCTATTGGAAGGTAACATTTTAAACTGAAAGTTATTATTTCTAAAAGATATACATGTTTTTATGAAAACTAAAATAAAATTATCTATTGATAAAACAACTATATAATTGTTTATGGTTTTTTATTAATAAAATTAATTATTTTGTATTAATTTTTATTTTCTGTTTTCTGTGGTCTTCAGAAAATATACTACAGTTAAACATGAAAGTAGGCCAGAATCAGATACGACAGAAAGTGAAGCTCCTTCAAAATATGAAATATACAGTTCATTTTTCTTAACTAGCTCACAAAAAAAACAGCTTTTTACAAAAACCTGGAAAAGAGCATGTGTAGTTTGTAAAAATATTAAAGACACAGTTAAATGTATGGGTCCATGTCAAAGTTATTTTCATAAAGAATGTTTAAATAAGAGCGAGGAAAGATATAATAGGACCAAAAGTATACCAATGACTACAACTAAAATTCAAAAACCGTCTGGTCGCAGTACAAGACATTACTCAAAAATCACACAGAAAAACGAAGGTTCTATTGTTGATAATCCTCAGCTTATAAATAACTTAGAAGAAAAAAACACTGTTAAATTATTTAAAAAAGACCATGACGTCAAATCTAATGGCTTACAGACCTTATCTCAAACCCAATGTTCTAGTTATACTAATAAAGAAACCATATCGCTTAATCAAATTGAATTTGATGAACTATTTAAAAATTATAGTTGCATTCTTACTGAAAATGATAATACTCAAAGTGAATTAGAAAGTGGAAATGAAGATTCTATTTCAGGAACATTTGAAGAAAAAAATGTTACTCCAACTGTACCAATCAACATTGATGATAAACTATCATTTTACAATTTTAAATATATGTGCAGTCTATGTAAAGCTGGTAAAACAAACTGTTTTGTGTGTGGCTTGGATATTGACGATCCTAGACAAAAGATTGTTTGTAAAATATGTAAGTTAAAATATCAAAACTAAGTGAATTATTTTTACTTTTGTCCTATTATAATTTATTATACAATGTTAACAGATATTGATATGAGTATATGAGCTGTTGTATAGTTTCATAACAATTAAAATTAAAAAATGAATTAAAAGTTTAATCAATGATAGTCATAATTTCTTCAACAAATTTAAATTAAAAAAAGTTATGAAACATTACATTAAAGTTTTTATTAAATTACATTTTGAAGCATTAAAAACTGAACAATTTATGAATTAGTTTTTATGTTTTGAAATGTCTTACTTAAATTTAGGCTGTAAAGTATATGCTAGATCTATGAATCAACACAATTTAATACAATTTACTGATAAAATAAAATAAATTATTTTTAGCCAGCTGTGGAAAATATTTTCATGAATCTTGTTTAAAAGATTGGCCTCAATGTCAATGGATTCAAGGGTCACGGAACAATGTCCGATGTGTAGTATGTCCACATCATGTTTGTCATTTATGCATTTCGGATAACCCTAAAAGTTCTTGTACAACTCATTTTCCTTCTGAAAAATTAACCAGGTGTATAAAATGCCCAACAGCCTATCATAGAAGTAATACTATTTTAAAATAATTCATACTTTACGATGTTTATATTTTATGTGTATTTTTAGGTGAATACTGTTTACCAGCTGGTTGTCAAATCTTAACATACAATGATATTATTTGCAGTCGACATTTTGAACCTGTTAAAATGCAAATTTATCATTCTAATGCTACCTGGTGTTTTATTTGTACATATGGTGATTATTATATCAAATGTTTAAGTCTGTTTGGTTTCTATCAAAAATATTTTATATTTTTAAGGAGGTGGTTTATTAGTCTTCTGTGATTTGTGTCCATCTGCATTCCACATGGAATGTTTAAATCAGGACCCATCAGAATTTGAAGGCAGTTTTACTTGTGAAGAATGTCAAACTGGACGATATCCTCTATATGGTGAAATTGTATGGGTTAAGATTGGGAACTATAGGTATGATTCTTGGTTTTATTTATCACTACAGTGTTAAATAATTAACATAATTTATTTTAGAGGTCACAAGGCCTGAAAAAACATCTAGGTAATCTATAATTTTTTCCATGTTTAGTGACATTAATCGTATTGATTATAATTTTTTGACCACAGATGTTTTTAAATATTTATTACGGAAATTATAGTTTCCGACTTCCTAAATTTTATGATTTTAATCTGTATTTACATTATAAACATTCATTTTTGTGTTTTTGACTTAATAGATTTGGTATCCTCCTGTTACTTGCTGGATTATATATCTATATACATTTAAAATTTATACAGAACATGTTTTAGACATTTCTTATATATAGTAATAATATAGTGACTGACACATACAAAATGTTTGTTATTATATATATATGCTCCGTATGAAAAAAAAATTATGGTTTTATCTAGCTATATAATTTATATAAATTCTGTTACCAGCAAGTGGCAGGAGTATAATCAAACTAGTCAATCCCCATCAAAACAGCACCTACCACTACAGGATCAGTGTATCTCATTTGTGTTAAACTTTGCACCAAAAATGTATATTCTTTTGGTAAATAGACTATATCACTGATAAATTTAAAAAATATTATATGTTTTTATAATTTTATTATTAATTATTGTTGTTTTCTCCCTAATTTTTGTATAAGTAAAATTGTATATTCGCTGTTGAAAAGTTAAATTGAATGTGGATTACATTTAGTGATAAAATATATAATTTTGTTAATTAATCTTACAAATATTCCTAATTATACTTAATTTTAGATGGTGGCCAGCTAAAATTATTTTTCCAAATGAAGTTCCTGATAATGTAAATGCAATATCACATTCTGTTGGACAATTTGTTGTTCGATTTTTTGGAACATATGATTATTATTGGGTAAATCGAGGACGAGTATTTAACTTTCAAGAAGGGGTAATTATAACTTGTTTATGTATCTAGAATAATAAAAAATGTATGTAAATTAGTTTGGCTGAGTCAAATACTAGCATTACAAAATCACATCAGAAAAAAATTAACTCTATTTTTTATAAAACTGGAGCTATGTCCTAAATGTGTTCTTTATTTTAGGATGATGAGAATTTTTTAATCAACAATAATATGAAGGTTATAGATAAAGTGTTTCAAGATTCTATTTTAGAAGCAGCTCAAGCTCATTGTGTTTATATTTTAGAAAAGGAAAAAAATGATGCTATAGTACCAAAATCTTTTACAGTATGTTATATATGATTTTTGATTAACGATTTATAATATACTTTTTATTTTGTTGATATTATAGGAGCCTCCAAAATTTAGAAGAATAAAATTCAACAAACCCATTGGCAATGTCAAAAATATGGAATTTGATATTACCGCAATGACTCCCTGTGAATGTGATCCAACAAAGCCAAACCCATGTGGTCCCGGTTCTGATTGTATAAATAGGTATTTTATTTACAACATTTCTAAATTACCTTTTAAAGTTTTTACTGAATTTTGTATTTTGTTTTTCTTAATTTTGAATTAACGTATAGAATGCTTATGTTTGAATGTGAACCAAAAGTATGTCCTGCTGGAGACAAATGTGATAACCAAAGATTTGAAAAAGCCTTGTACCCTACTATGGTCCCGTTTTTGACAAAAGATAGGGGTTGGGGTCTTAAGACATTAGAAGATATAAAAGAAGGTTTGATAATACTAAACATTTTAGTATAATCCTAAAATAGTATTAATAATGATTGTTTAAAATTAAGGTTCATTTGTGATCGAGTATGTGGGTGATGTAATTGATGAAGACGAATTTCAAAGGAGATGCTTGGAAATGTATCAGAGGAATGAACAAAATTATTATTTTTTGACTATAGATAATTCTAGAACAATTGACGCTGGGCCAAAAGGAAATTTATCAAGGTAAAAACTAATTCTTATAAATTAAAATTATATTTCTCAATTTCTAAGTTATTAACTTAACCTACCCTGACAAAGTGTCACAAAGACAATGAGAACAGTATCTACTATCTATCCTCAAATTCAAATAATAATAATAAATGATACAATTTAATATTTTAATAAGAGGAATTTGGGAATTGAATAATTCTTAATTAATTTTTTTATTATCATTGAATTTTTACTATCATTGAATATCTGATGTGTAATTTGTTTCCAATCATTCAAAAATTAAATGAATAGATGTCAAAGACTCCGTCCATGTGTTCTTGTTCTGCGTGTACAGGGTTTGATGGTATCATCGAAATGTTTGTACAAGACATGCTTCTGGCTTATAGGTAGTCAATCAACTTAGTGATTAATGATTATATTTGATGACTCAACTTGTAATCATCGCTGTGCAATTTATCCCACAGGCATCTCCTGGTTACCTTAGTACCTCCTATTTTGTTCAATGTTTATAGCTAGTACCTAATTAATATTCTTGTAATTTTTGTACTATTAGTGTTACTTACACTTTACCATTGTTAGGTTAAGAATTAATTTTGTTATACATAAATAATTTTAGTTTATTTAGTAATCATACTTTATATAAAGTATATAACAAATTTAGAATGTAGTCTTACTGTAACTTCTTTATAATTCTGGAATATTTAAGTTTTTTCTTTATTCTTATTTTAAGTTTTATGACTTAGAATAAAATATTTAAAAACCTTAATTTTTAGTTTGTGTTATTTATGATGATATGGTTAACAAGTTATTTTGTAAGCATATTTATGGTAACATTTCCATGAATTTAATATTTTTTTTATTTACCATAGGTTTATGAACCATTCGTGTGAACCTAATTGTGTAACCCAAAAATGGACAGTGAATGGAGATACTAGAATTGGACTTTTTGCGTTACATGACATTCCAAGTGGTACAGAGCTAGTTTTTGATTACCGTTTCCAGAGTTGCTCGGGAGTAGAGAAAAAACCCTGTCAATGTGGAGCTACAAGATGTTCTAAATTTATTGGAGTGAAAGTGGTAATCATTGTTTATAATATTAACATTTTAAGTGTTAAAAACGTATGGTGTATTATTTTACACGGTAAGTGATACATGAAGACATGGACATTTGTTTTTTTTACTTCTCGGCAAATCACATTTAGCTCCGTTTGTAGCTAAATCGTTAGTAGAGTATTTTTAAATTGTATATTCTTTGTATATCTTAAAATACTCGCTTTAAAAATAAAATATAACAAAAAGCGTATGAAATGCCCTATATAATAATTTTACCTTTCAATTTTATAAAGAGGTCAATTCACTCTGACTTTTGAACTAGCGGAGCTAAATGTGATCTGCCGAGCTTAAAATTTGTGACGTTACACGCTTATAAGACTGAGACAACAAATGTCTACGTAGAATAAATTGTCTTCAAAGAGATTGTTAGACCGCACCAAACTTTGCTAGTATTTATATGGATGATTCAGATGTTTTAGCAACGTATAGAGCCTTCTTTCCCCAAATTATGGTTATGGGGCAGGTATAAGCCTAAACACAGAATTATGAATAAAATACAGTGATCATTGTTTTAAAATAAATTTAAATATTTAATTTCACAGGAAGAAGAGAAAAAGAAAGTAATTTCAAGTAACAATGTGGATAAGTGCAAGGTTTCTTCAAAAACCAAACGAAAACCGTTGAAACTGAAGGTAATTATATACTAATGTAAAATAGCTAAATTCTTAAACCAATAAAAATGCATTTGTTTACTCAGTTAGAATAAAAATTGTGCTACTAGGATTTCCATTTGATCTGTGTTAGCTTTATGTTATTATAACTATGAAATCATAGTGGCCTATCTTTATTCTTCATGTATATTTATTTATACTTAAAACATTTAGATGTTTCATTTATTTTGTTATTTATTTTTGTAAAGTAAATTTTCTTTATTTCATAGGATAATGTTTCTGATTCAGACAAGTCAAAATTATCTAAAGTAATTAGCAATGATCGAAAATTCTCTACAACTGAAAATAAGGTAATAAATAAATCACAACAATTGGCTTTTATTATTTTATATTGTTATAAAAATATATATAATAAAAATCAAATAAATGTATATAGGTTGAAGCATCTAATGCTGAGAAAATTGTACTTTCCAAAAAATCCAAATCTAAAAAATCTATTGGCAAATCATCAACTACCTTAAAAGTATATTTTAATGACTTAATATTTGACTCATACTTTATTATTATATTAATTATTTTTCTTTTTGGTTTTGATGTTAGAATGCAAATTCGGAACCCTCGGAAACACCTGCTGTTGTAAAAGAGAAATGTAAAAATTCATCTAGGAACATCACCAGTATCACCAAAGTATGTAACAAAAAAAACAATTAAGAGATCTACATTGTAATTATAAATTTATGTCAAATTGTCATAGTTTGTTTCTATTTATTAACATTTAATTTCCAATTATAATAATTGATGAATCAATTTAAATTTAAATTACCTTTTAAACTTAATGTTAACTATAAAATGTATTGATTTAAATTTTGAAAATTTAATTTTTATAAATTTTTTATATAAGTTTCAGTAATTCTGTAATATCTACCACTTTTTGTTCTCCTTTTAATTTAGAATACCAAAAATATCTATTTGAAAATTATTTGAATTATTAGAGTAAAGTACTTTATTCAAAAATCAATTTGTATGTTATTATCCTATATTATAATCTTTCTTATATAAAAATTAAAATTAATTGCTGTTCGTTTGTCTCGCTAAAACTTGAGAACAGCCGGATTTTTTTAAGATGTTCGTAATTGCCTGGAGAAGATTAGAAAGAAAGAAATTTTAGGAAAATCAATCGGAATAGTAGGAAATCTGGATGAAAAAAATACAACTCTGGCGCAACAGTGTATTATAATTTATATTGGTTGCTATTGGTTAATCGGGCATGTTTGTTGATTTGTATTTTGTCAACATATATAAATTAATTAATGTTTGATTAGACCTCTGGGAAGAAGACGGGCTAATTTAAAAATGGTTAAATTTGGTTTTTTTATTCATCTGATATTAGTACTGTTAGGATTTGGTATTAACTGATTATATTAATCCACCATAGGTTAGGTAATACAAAAACTTGGTATAACTTTGATACTTTAAAGTTAAATCATACATTTACGTACAAACATCAAGCCGCAGCGTTGCGAACCGTACAGTCCCGGTTGGGGAAGTACGGTAATTTGGCCTCCTGTACGGTCTACGGACGGACCTGTCAAAATCATGGAAAAATACGGTAATTCTATTTACCAACATGATTGTCATCATTCTAAATTCTTGAAATATTTATTGTTTTTAGGTATTAAACTTTAAGTTTTAGGTTTAAACCATATAAATTGTAGCTAAGTTATATGAACATTTAACCTGTAATACTTGGTTGTCTCGCATTTTTTTCACATCAAAACGAGTGTTCGAACTTCAGAGTTTTGTTTTTGCCTATTGGTTGTTGGCTTATTTCGAATGTTTCATTGTTCCGTATATTTTTATTTGAATCGTATTAAATCTACTGTCTACTTTTTTTCGTTCAGTCGATTATCTGTTGGTTTTATATATTTTTTACAATGATGTTTAATGAAAGTGATGATGACATTGATGCATCTTCAACTTCAACACCGCGTGGTGAAAGCACCCATAAACTTTGCCATAGAACGCAGAAATATAGTACGGAATGGGAGCAACTTTAGATTGCCTACCTGATAATATACTGCTGCGAATCAGAATTATTATTACAATCCCAGGCAATGGAAAAGATAAGATAAATTTTGAACACCATACACTGAATATTAAATGACGAATTGAACAAAGTTTGAGTCATATAGATTTGGTATATTTAACGAGTAACAAAGTACACGAGATCAGCTAGTATTATATAAAATCATTGACGTGTACAATTATTAAATATGTTGAAAACTTAAATAATAAAATAAAAATTTATATATTTTTAATAACTATTAAACCATTTAGGGCCGTTCTTACAATGTCTGGTAAGGTGTCGTTTAACTGTAATCGACTAATAACAGATTTTATTACTGGCAGAAATGGGCCAGTTAAGTGTCGGTTAACTTAAAAGTTACAATTGGTAAATGCTATAATAAGAATTTTTATTCACAGATGTAATCAATTAAACCGGTCATACCCAGTCCAGATATGTCATTTTTATTGTATAAGAAACATAATAATATGGTATACAAAATATAAACTGTTAGTTTATTTTAGTTTTATTGTCCAAATTAAAGTATCATTAATATGTAAAAACATTTTGAATATATTATTTTTTTTATTTAAATACGCTTAACTGCACTTTGTTTTATATCGCTATCCCAATAAATTGTCTTTTTCAATAATAAAAAATGTATTTATATTAACTCACAATATCAACAATGTTAGGTTTCCTTTGTACATATTCAAAGAAATATTAATAATTTATAATCAATATGTTTTGTAATGTTTTTCATTTTTCATTTTCATTTCATCTTTTTTTCTAACACATGTGAATATGTATCAGGTTAAACATAGTGAGACATGTTTATGTATAATGTATATTCTTTGATTTTAAATACTCTATTCAATTTAAGAAAGTTACTTTGTGACTACCCTAGTTTGTCAACCACTATTGTATATCTGCCGTTTACCATAGCCACACCACTGCACACAAATTGACTGCCGAGTATGTTTCTTTACTTGAATAGAGTATAGAGTATATTTTATAATATTAATTGTACGTGTTTATATTTTATTTTTATATTTAACACCTATTTATTTCTACAATTATATTAAATTAATGATATTTGTTAGTTACTATGTAGCGTCTGATAATTAAAATAAATTTTTGTTTAACGTTTGATAATGTTCGTGTCAAAATAGTTTTTATTTAATATACAGATGTCATTAATAACATCTAACACCCTGTATATCAATACATGTTTTGCAGAACATTCCAACTTTTGTTTCCAATTCATGATTCCAAAACAATTATTTTTAAATATGTCCATTTATTTTTATTTAATACTTAAATACATTTAAACTAGATCTTAGTTCTGATATCTGATACAGATATTTTAAATGGGAGGGTTTACATTAAAAATCATATATATATATAGAGTGATTTTTTAAGCATGCTCGCCCCCATTTTCCTCTTTAAGAATAGTACATTAATTATTCAAATTTTTAAGCATATCTAAAGACTTTATTTTTTGTACTACTTAAGGATGGCCTATACAAACTTCTATTTTTCAAACGAGAACCACCAATTTTTACTGCAAATTAATGGATAATTTACTTAAAAGTTAATTGTATCTAAATCAAAATTCGTAAGTTCTGATTTATTAACATTTTTATATAATTATCCTTAAAAATGGTTTTACAAAAATATAAACTGTAATATATTAAAATAAAATAAAATATTAGATGTAGGATTTATTATGCTTGGATCAATTTTCCTAATTATATCATTGTGTATATTGATAGATTAATATTTATTACCAACATGTTTAAATCATCTTAGCTCCTATATCTACTTAGCTCATTACTCATTGTGACATATTATTATTAGTGCACAAAGTTATATAACTAAAAATCTACCCACTGATTTGAATATATCAAAATAAAAAAAAAATACCGTATAATTATAAGTGAAAAATAAGAGTTCCTATTTGAAAAATAGAAGTTTGTATTGTCAAAAGATCATCATTAAGTAAGAAAATCTCAATTATTCAACAATATGGTCTTCAAGTGTATTTAAAATTCCTAAAAGGTGCTCTGCTGTAAAGTAGGTTACAAGTGGGTCACTGTATAATGATGTACGGTGTATAGGAAATGCTTATATAAACATTCAGTGAAATTTGCATGTATCTACAGTTATTCGTTTTTTAATTACAACAAAATAAAGAAATCGAGTGAATATCCAATGTTGTAAAAATTTGAATTTAAAACGCTCATAAAAATTTAATTTGACTTTCTTATAGAAATTTTTTTTTTTGATAAAGGTAGACAAACTTATGAGAAATCTTGTATTATATTTTAAAATCTTAGATTTAAAAAGAAAAATTTTTACGAATTTTTTATATTATGGTACCATGGTGTTTGTAGTTGTAAATACTTTTCCTAACACCATTCAATAATTGTATTCAATTTGTAATTATTACAATAATAATAATAACTTTATTGCAACAATAACATCTTTACATATTAAAATAAAATTATAAAATATAGGAAGTATATATACATAAAATATAGCTTTATACATTTTATGAAAATTAAACAATATTGCAACACTCCCAAAAAGCAGAGCTTGTGCTGGGAGAGCCAGTTCTTAAAAGAATTTAAGTACCTAAGGTATAAGTAGGTACTATAGTAGAATATGATTACTAAACAATATAAATTACATTAACTAACAGTAAAAAGAGACTTAACTAGACTAAAGACAAATATATAAAGATTACTAAATGGAGTAAAACAATATAATAAAGAGGCAATAACACAAATTAAATACAATCTAAATTTAATTTTTTTATATATTTTTTAAAAGTAGAAAGATTCTTAAAATTATTTATATTAATATTAAATGAAACACATAAATGTAAGCCAATATAAAATGTACTTTTTTGACCAAAAACTTAAGTGCAATTTGGTAAGCATATATTAATATTTTGTTTAAACCTAGTTTTATGTTCATGATAAAATATTGGTATCAAGTGTTTATGCTTATATAAATCTAACAGAACAGACAAATTATAAATAAAATTGAAATTTTTTACATTTAGGGACTCATATAAAATGATAGTACTCGTTTGAAAAGGTAAATTAAATAAACATCTTGTCATTTACAGGGCTGGAAGTGGTTAAGGCTATTTAAAAAAATGACTAAGTGACTGAATTTATTCATAAAAGTGACAAAAAAGTTACCTACATACATTTGTTTCATAACAACTTCACAGTTATTAAACATTTGTCTTTGAATCTCTACATACCTATGATTTAATTGATTCTAACTTACTTAATTTTGTTGAAATTACAAAAATAATAATAATAATAATAAACACAAATTTTAATAACAAATGATTAAATCATATTACCCATTTCAATTTATAATGTTTATAATTTAGAATAATATTCAAGATCATTGTTTAGGAACTTTCTTTATTTTAATCATAACTAAAAAACACGCCTATGGTTTGTTATAATAGGAATTCATCCCGGATGGTTTTTCAAATGTAGTAGACTAATAAATATACGAAAGTTTGATTAGGAACATTACATAAAAACAAAGATATTGGTATAATAATATGTTATATGCCTATAAACAAGCCTATTCAACAGCCGTAACTCGTAACACAAGA